CTAACATAGTGAACACATATCCAGAAATAGACTTTCTGGAATCCATACAACCTGCATAATCAAAGTCGGCAAACCCTTCGATTTTGACTTTGCTATAATCACCACAGGCTCGACCATAAATCAAGACTCTTTTCAGAGACCTATTTATGTACCTGAGAATCCATTTTACAGCTTGTCAGTGCGCCTTTCTAGGATTGGCCATATACCTACTTATAAGGCTCACGCCATACGCTATGTCTGGCCTCGTACAAACCATAACATACATCAAAGAACCTACTACAGTAGCATATGGAATTCTACTCATATAGACTCTTTTAGCTTCAGTATTCGAACTTTGAGTAGTACTAAGCTTAAATTGAGGATTTGTTGGAGTCACAACATGCTTTGAATTCGACATACCAAACTTGTCAAGAAGCTTCTGTAGGTATGTTTCTTGAGATAAGCACAACTTTGAGTGCTTTCTATCTCTCTGAATGTCAATTCCAAGAATCCTGGTGGCAGCTCCCAGATCTTTCATTTCGAACTCCTTGCTGAGTTCAGCCTTTACCTTCATTTCATCCTCGACACTATTGCTATCTATGAGGATATCATCCACATAAAGCAACAAAATAACAAGTGAGTTTCCAGGTTGAAATCTGAAGTAAACACAGTGTTCGAACTAGATCCTAGTGAAATTAATGTGTGTCATGAACTTGTAGAATCTCCTATTCCATTGTCGAGGAGATTGCTTCAGGCCATACAAAGACCTATTCACCTTGCACACATAATCTGTTGGTGATTTTAGTATCATCAATGTATTTTAGTAGTAATGTGATTTATTGTAGGCCGATGCAATTGTATGTTAAGCTTGGAAACAAGTTAGGGTAGTGCAGAGTGCACGCTCGTCGAGCCAACATGTAATTGAATGTGAATAATTGAAAAGGGGTTCCAAGGGGGCGGAGCCCCTGGAGGGGTGCGGGGCAGCGCCCCGCTGGGGAAGCCCTTGGCGGGGTGCGGGGCAGCGCCCCGTGGGGTTCCAAGGGGCAGAGCCCCTGGCTGGATTTTTCTGAAAGTTTTTGAACAGTTGAACCTGTTCGAAATCTTTCTGAACGTTTGAACCCATTCGAAATTAAATTTGAAAAGATGAACCCGTTCAAAAATTTTGAACAGATGTCCCTTTTCGTTTTCTGTTATTTAATCTCCTATATAAGGAGTCATTTGGCCTCAGTTTTACACACTGAACAAAATCATATCTCTCTCTATTCTTGATATATTTTCTATTGCCAGAAGCAGATTGTTCTTCAAGAATTATCCCCACAAAGATTTCGTGAACCCAGGTAAATAATAGGGTCGAAATACTTTGTTCGGAAAGTGTACGAACATGATTCCTCGAAGATATCCAAGATTATCACACCAAATTTCTAACATAATCTTCCTTATCCTTTTCAACATAACCTTCAGGTTGACGCATCAGGATCGCTTAGTTTAGGTCACCATACAGAAATGATGTTTTCACATCCATTTGATCAAGTTAAAGGTCGAACTATGTCACCATGGCTAACAACATTCAAATAGATCTATGCTTTACAGAAGGTGAGAATACATCATTGAAGTCGACCCCTTCTTTCTGAGTGAACCCCCTAGCAACCAATCTTGCCTTAAAACGCTTCTACATCACTCCTTCGATTCCTTTCTTGACCTTGAAAGTCCACTTACAACTGACTAAACTTGCTCCTACAAGTTTCTCAATCAGTTCCTACGTTTTATTATCATGAAGAGATTTCATCTCACCATTCATGGCTTTTCGCCATTCAGTCTTATTTCGACTCCTCATAACTTTCTTGTGATATCTAGGTTCTTCCTCAAGTACCTCACTTGCAAATGTTAAGGGAAAAGTTATAAGATCTGCATAACCAAGTCTCTGAGGTGGCTTGATGAGTCTTCTCGATCTATCTCTTACCAGTAGGTAATCATCGACAGTTTCCTCAGCTTCTTCAGCATCTTGTTCTTCTTCTACAACTTGATCTAGGTTATGCACTTCAGCATCACTATGCTCCACCTCAACAGGAATCTCTACCAGTTCTAGCTCCTCTTCATAGATCTATACATTTTGACCAGCATCACCAGTTTTCTTGAACGCCATCTCAAATTCATTGGAAACTACATCACGACTTGTGATACATCTTATGTGACCTAGTTCTAGGCACCACAACCTTTAACCCTTAAATCCCTCAGGATATCTAAGGAACATGCATCTCAGAGCTCTAGGTTCGACCTTGTCTTGCCTAATGTGAGCATAAGCCAAACATCTAAATACTCCTAGTTTGTCAAGATCTGGTGGTTGACCCGACCAAACTTCTTCAGGTATCTTCATTCCCAAGGCAGTCGAGGGACATCTATTTATCAGATAAGCTGATGTCGAAATAGCCTCCGCCCAAAACATGTTCTTCAATAAAAAACTAACCAACATGCATCTAACCCTTTCAAGGATTATTCGATTGAATCTCTCAGCTAAGCCATTTTGTTGAGGAGTACCTGCTACAGTCTTATGCCTTGCAATCCCAAACTCAACACGGTAATTGTCGAAAGCTTCATTGCAGAACTCAAGTCCATTGTCGGTTCTCAACCTCTTAACCTTTCTTCCAGTTTGAGTTTTGACCAGAACCTTCCAACTTTTGAAATTCTCAAAAGTTTCATCCTTAGTCTTCTGAATGAATACCTATAATTTTATGGAATAGCCATAAACTATAGATAGAAAATACCTTGCACCTGAATGTTTTATTTGTTTACCTTTGTTAAGTTTTGCCCTACAGGATTTTCCAAATACACAAGGTTCACAAGACTCTAACTTCTCGACTTTGTCACCACCTAGCAGATTTTGTTTCCCCGGCTCGACCAGGCCTCTTTCGCTAACATGGCCCAATCTCATGTGCCATAATTCTATCTTCGACCCAGGTTTCATGGATGCAACCTTTTTGAACCACTTACAACCTCATCCTCAAGGGTATACAAGCCTTGTTTCTTCACTACTCCAAGACTTCCTTCGACTCCTTCATGACTTTTAGGATACTTTGCTCTCCTTTGAAGACATACCTTTTCTTGTAGAATTCACCAAGAGAAATCAAATTCCTCTTAAGGTCAGGTACATACCTAACCCCAGTCAATAGTCTTACTGAATCATCATGAAGCTTGAATCTTACATATCCAATACCTGCAATCTTGCAAGCTTTATTGTTTCTCAACAACATTGATCCACCATCTTAATCACATAATTCTTCAAACACATTCTTGTTTGTAGTCATATGCCAAGTACATCCAGAATCTATAATCCACCTATTTGCAAGAGTTGTTGCTCAACCCTACAAGGACATTAGATGATTCATAATCATCTTGCACCATAGCTGCATTGCCATTGTCCTTACCTCCATGATTATTCATGCGCTCAGGGCACATCTTTCTTGTGTGACCCTTCTTTTTACAGTGATAACACTTAATCCCAGAAATATCACCACCATAAGACTTCTGTTGAGTTTTAGCGTTCTTCTTCTCAAACCTACCATCTCCCTTCGAGGATTTTCCTTTCACGGACAACCCTTCATCAACTGATGATGATGGTTCCTACTCCTTTTTTTTCGTTCAAATCCTTCGAATACAAGACTGCTTGAACTTCTTCAAAGGTCAGAGACTCTCTTCCATACAAGAGGTTTTCTTTGAAGTGAGCATGTGACTTAGGTAAAGAACACAACAATAACAACATTTGATCTTCATCATTAATGGTAACATCAATATTTTCAAGACCAAGAATCAGCTTGTTGAACTTATTCAGTTGCTCTGTCAATGCTTTATCTTTATTCATCTTGAATGAATACAAAGCTTGCTTCAAGTACAAACGATTCACCAAGGTCATTGTCATATACAATCCTTCGAGTTTCAGCCAAACATCAGTTGTCGTCGTCTCCTTCGAAACCTGCCTGAGAACCTTATCACCAAGACACAGAACAATTGCACTGTGAGCTTTCTCGATCATCGTTGTTTTTTCCTTCTCCGTCAATGCAGTATCCATGGCATCTTCTCCCTTTAAGGCTTCTAGAAAATCTCATTGAATAAGAAGGGCCCACATCTTCAAACGCCATAAACCGAAGTCATTAACTCTAGTGAACTTCTCAACTTCAAACTTTGTTGATGACACCTTCTCCATGCTCACTGCACCAGTTTGTTGTTATCACAAACGATACCTTTCAACAAATAAAGATTGAGAAACAAAATTCTTGGATGAACAATGAAAACAGTTAGAACAAAGAGAGAAAGAAGAGATGATAAAGAAGAAAGAAAGAGAAGGATTAGGGCAAACTGTTTACTATTCATTTTCTCATAAGGGTTTACAAATAATTACAAATAAATATCACAATTGGCCTCACTCAACAACCAGAGTGATCTAGTCTATTTATATACTAACTAGCTAACTTACATTACAAACTAACTAAAGAATTTGATCCTTAACACAAGACTCAATTCGGCATAATAAGTCAACAATATATTTCGACATTACATGCTAGAACTAACTTTGACTACAATATATAACCCTTCGACATAAGCATATGACCCAACTTTAACTTCATACTTGTCTCCTGTCGAAACACATAAAAACTATTTTTCAAAAAAATAGAGTTCGACCCAAAATCTTATACTATTTAATAATGTGTTTGTCTTTCATAAAAACTACTATATCACTTCAAAAATTAATATTTTTCATATGATGTTAAATTGTTTTTAAGTCAAACTATATTAGCAATTCATAATTTTTGCTTACATCCCACAACCATATGAATCTCTTGCATTAATCACTGAGGTTAATAAAAAATAAATAAAGGAAATATGTGAAATCAACAAATTTCTTAAGTGAAACATGTTTAATGTAAAATCAACTCATTTCTAAATTCTAATCCTCCTCATACAATAACATTACAATAAGAAACTAAAGAACTCCAAAATAAAAACCAACTTTATATAAAGAAAAGAATTTAATGTTTACTCCAAACTCCAATTTCAAAAATAAGTGCAATGGAGATTAATATTGCAAGCACAATTCCATAACCTACCATCCATCCACTTCCTTCATTCCCTAAATGGATTCCATAGAAAATGTTTGCTATGGATAATATAATTACCATTCTCCCTATGTTATGATGATATAAATTCCAATGCTTTCTCACTTTTGATCCCTTTTTTGGTCTAGCAACAAAAGCTAGTATCTGCAAAAACAAATACACCAAATCTTTAAAATTGTTTGAAATAATGTTTTAAAAACCGCACCGGCGATTTTAAAAAAATTACCTGTAGGCAAGCAAGAACAAGAATGATGATTCCAAGTGCTTTGTGAAGATTAAAATCAATATGGAGTTGATTATTGAGGATTAGTCCACTAATTACACCGATTAGGCCAAGAATAAAACCCAATGATTGAACTGAAACATGAAAATTAAACCAAAATGGATCCCAATCCTTGAAGTAACGAGCAACTATTGCTCCCATTATGATAAAGATACCCCACCCCAATATATTCAACACCCCATGGCTTCTTTTTAGGTTCATATTAGGGTTTCCTATTGCACTTGAGCCTGTTTCGAATATAAAAAAACTCGCATTAGTCGCAATTGTTCAATCTAAATTGTAGAATCTCGAATAAATAATTCATATTTTGCAAATGAATAATAAATCTAATTTTTTCATTGTATTGATGTTAGTCGTTCCATAAACAATCAGCAGAGTGTTTAGATGTGTTGATTTTATTATCAATTGATAATAAAATATTAAATAATATTGATTAGAATAATATAATAATTTTATATTTTTAAAAACTTAAAATTAAAATTTATTAATCTAAAATAAAATATTTTTATTATATTAAAATATATAATTTAAATTTTTACGGCCTGCTGATTTAAGTTGCAGTCTCGTCGAGAAGGCTTATAGTTTAAGTTAAATAAATTAAATTAAAATTTTATTTTTAGAATATAAAGCACGTGTTGTGTCAACCTCAACCTTTTTACATCTACCACAAAAAAAAGAACAAGACACATAGGTTTAGTTTGGTAGATTGTCGATTTCTGATCTTACATTTCAACTTAATTATTCTCCAATCCACTACTGGCCCATGTTGATTCTGCGTAATAACATGCCAAAATTAACAAGCCAAAAGGTCAACACTAAAATAATCTTCATTAATAACATGCTTAATTTCCTCTTCCCACTTTATATAGTATTTTTATTTTTGTTACGCAATAATCCAATCATAAAGCAATCACCTACTCCAAAAAAGTATCATTGCAAATCAATATTCATTTTGAATAGTTTCTCAATTTCTCTCCTGTTAGCTACATGAAGATTTTTTTTCTATAAAGATTTATGAGGGCATGAATGTGTGTGACTCTATGCTAAACATCACTTCAAATGAAAGGTTATTTTGAGTAACTTTTTTTAAATTCATTTTGAGATTATTTTATAAATAAATGAAATTTTCGTTTTAGTAAGACAAGACAAAAATTGCTTATAAGTTTTAAAAACCTCTAAATACTAATTTTTAAATTATTGGTTATCAAAAGAATTTTATTTTAATATTAATATCATTTTTCATCTCTTATCTTTGAGTCAAGGTTCATTTTGATTCTTAAACCTTTATAAGACTCTTTTGATCCCTTATTTCTTTAAAATGTGTCACATTTATCCTTTTTAATAGCTATGTTAATCAAAATCAAATTAAATGAACTTGTATTGTCGCTGATGTGGATTAGGAATTAGAAATTATGTTGAATCAAAACTGAGTCAATCTTATTTGAATCAAAACCACAAACATTTGAAAAGAAACATGAAGATATGAACGGCAATGGAGAAGACGATGAAAAAGACGACGACGTGTGTGAGCTTAGTAAAGATACAAACACCATTTTCTAAATATGAATGCAGGTTTCTAGAGCGTTTGCACATGATTTCGTGAAGGTGAGTCAAAAATTTCTAACCCCTTTTCTTATTTAGGGTTTAACTGAATGTGTGGTTGTTTTAGGATTTTTTTCGCATAACTCTGATTTCTAGTACAACAATTCAATTTTCTATATACCTTTGTTTAGGGTAACAGTTTAAAGGAATGTGTGGTTGTTTTAGAATTTTTTTTCACCCTGTTCTTCCCCTTATTAAATTTTGTTTTAAATAGGTAAAAAGTAAAAATGAAAAAAAAAAAAGTTACTTCATGTGTTTATTCATCATGGAGGGTCATTTGTGGATGATGAATTAACTAGGTATAAGGATACAATTTCATAATTGAAATTTGGGTTGATAAATGGAGTTATTTTGAGTTAGTATGCATAGTTAAGGATCATGGATATAGATATTATATGGTGCAAGGATCCAATGTTTGGGATGCATATTTTAACTGATGACAAAGGTGCCTAAGATATAGCAGATTTATGTATGGTGTACTTGAGTCTTGATGTTTATGTACCATATCCACTGACTCAACCTGAGTTTTATGATGATCTTATAGAGGAAGAAGATATAAATCTTGAGGATATTGTTAATTTTGATGGAGAAGATTTAATTCCTAAATTGTTTGAAGCAGTGAAAGGTGATGAAATAGATGTGCATGGAGATAAACTCTATGACAATGAGGTGCAAGATGGTGAATTGAATGATAGTGGAATGGATAATGACGAGACTAATGAAGCTGTGATGAATGAGGATGGAATGGTTGGTTCTGAAAGTGGAGATGCTAATGACGACGTAAGCTTTAATTATGACACTGCTTTATTTATATATATATATATATATATATATATATATATATATATATATATATATATATATATATATATATATATATATATATATATATATATATATATATATATATATATATATATATATATATATATATATAATTTGAAGAATATTATAATGAAATTTTAAGAATAGATTTTGGATCGATATTCAAGTTAAATGTTCAACTTGTGCAAGAAGAAGTAGTTGATAAAAGGCCTCATTTCAAAAGATTTGCAGACCCGTGATTGATCTTGTTGTGTGTTTTTTAAAGGACCTTTGTGGAGGATAAATATTGACAGTCATAGGAAGAGATCCTAATGACCAAATGATGCCAATAACTTTTGATGTTATTGACGGAGAAGCAAAGAATAGTTGGACATGGATTTTTAAACTTTTGATTAATGATCTTGGAGCTAAGACTCAATGTCGTATCTACTATTTAATATTTGATCAACAAAAGGTAATTTGTTCATATGTATAGAAAACAAGAATGGGATGTCACGCAGAGGGTGTTCAAAATCAAATTGAACCAATAAAAAACCCCAAACCAAACCAAACCGAAAATCGTAAAAAATAGCATTTGATTTAGACGTGTTTAAGTCATTTTCTAACAAAATTGTACGGTTCGACTCAGTTTTCAATTTATATATTACAAACCGAACCAAATTGTATTTTATATTTATATATATATTAGGGGTGTTCATGGGTGCGGGTCGACCCGCAAACCCGCCTACCCAAACCGAACCAACCCACTAATTACCCGGACTCATTCATTTACGGGTATACCCGACCCAACCCGTAACAACCCGTATAGATTTTGTTCGGATATTGGGTTTTAGTTTCTAAACCCATGAACCCGTTGACCCAACCCGTTGACGTGGCATAATTAATTATTATTATTATTATTATATTATTATTTATAAATTTTAAAGTTGCTATAACTTTGTAAATTGTAACGTACACAAAGATCTTTTGCATTTTCCTTCCAGTTTCCAATCACACATTAAATTATTATTATTATTATAATTAAACATTATTATTAATATTAATCATGCTTGCTTTCACTGCTGGTGCTGGAATCTTTTATAGTTGCTGTTAGATTTTGGTGCTATTAGATCAATATTGGACCAATACATCTATGTCATTTTAAGACTAAGTGATGTTTATTTGCTTTTGAATTATTTAGAATTTATGAATTTTATGGAAATGATATTTTATGGAATTTTATATATTATTAAGTGTTAATATATATGATAGTTTACGGACCTACTTTTAAGCATGTGCTAGAAAAGGTAACATTTGAATATCAAAACATCTAATATATACTGTATATTATTATATATTTGTTTTACATATATTGATATATATTTGTAATGGATAACATTTGAGTATCAAAATAACTAATAAATTTTTATAAATTAAGGTATATTAATGAAAATATATAAATAATTAATGGTGTATATGTATCTTAATATTTTTTATGACAAAGAAAATACATTTCAAAATTTTAATTGTTATATTTTTAATTATTCTATTTTATATGTAGGATTTGTCTCCACTACGTAAATAATTTAATTGTTTGAAATATGCAAAATTATATTGAATTGTGTTATAGATTTTTTAAATTGAAAATAATAATTATTATATACACAACCTGTGGACCCAACCCTACCCAACCCGTAAATATCCGGGTTGATTCGGGTCGGTTTTTAAAGTAGAATTACGGGTTTGATGATAAATCCAACCCATTGAAAGTTAAACGGGTTGGGTAACGGGTTAAGGCGAACCCGGTCCAACCCAACCCGCGTACACCCCTAATATATATATATATATATATATATATATATATATATATATATATATATATATATATATATATATATATATATATATATATATATATATATATATATATATATATCAACAAAAAAGTATAGATTATTTATTTATAAATATTATTTTTTTTGTGAATTAAATACTATTATTTTTATTTAAAATAAAATTAAAATATATTTATTTTTGTTTTTATTTTTAATTTGTTGATGTTGATAAGGATTAGATTAAAATAAAATTAATTTACATTAATTTTGAATCTCTTTTATTTGAAATAAAATTAATATATATTTATTTTTGTTTTCATTTTTAATTTGTTGTTTTGATAAGGATTAGAATAAAACAAAAAGTTTAATTTACATTAATTTTGAATTTCTTTTGTTTATAATAAATTGATAGTAAAAAATAAATTAGTGTTAAGAGGCTAACATAATCACATGCATGCATTTATTTAAAATTACATACATTTATTTAAAATTACATAATATAGTATTTTAAATTTATTTAAAAATGTAATTTTATATATATTATTCTTTAGACATGAGATATTGTAGGACGTAATTCATATTTATACATAAAATTATAAATTTATTTTATGATAATGTGTGAATAACTAAACACAAAACTATCTTGTTCTCTATATGTGTAGGTATGATTCAATAAAAATCTTGTAAAAAAGAGTCAACCTAAACCATATTAGTTTAGCTTGGTTTGAATCGATTTTATTTTTAAAAGTCAATTGAACCAAACCGAACCACACATTTTTTGTCTCTTGCAGTTTGGATGATTTTTTTCATCAAAACCGCCTAAAACTCACCGCGAACATCCCTAGTCGCGGACCACACTATTGTTTAGAGATCAAATTGGTCTTTCTAAAAGTTAAAGGACTAAAATGAATACCGACCAAAAAAAATTGATATTTTTAAGTCTATTTTATTATCAATAGCATACGAGCCCTTAATTTACTTTTGAGGAAATAAAAAACACATGCATGGCTTTTTTTCATAAGCTAATAAAGTACCTGTGGCATAATTGACTGTAATGGAAACTTTGTCTTGGTGCTTCATTAGACCAAAACTTGGAGCCGTAGGAAAAACACCATTGGGTCCAATAGCATAGATCAACCGAGAAAGAGGATGATTAGTTTGTAACTGGAATGCCATGTACAAACGTGATGATTGCGATGTGATCAAAGTAGAATTGTTAATAATTGGCAAGTTGCCTCTATTTGGAACCACTTGGTTTGGTCCATACCCTGATAGATAGTATTGCTTCATGCCTCCACTAGCACCATTGGATGAGATCCACCCTACAATTGCACTTGAACCTACCATGCCTCCATTGGGAGAGAACCCTATTGAAATGTAAGAATTTTGGTTTGGTGCTGAGAGAATGAAGCTCCATATGTTTGAAGAAGTTTGAGAATACTGCAAACATATGCATAGTTAATTTAATGTGTATCAGATGAAATATACAAAGCACTGGCCCAGACAAAGATACTAGACACTGACACATCGGCATTAATAATAATTTGAAAAAATGAATAAATTGAATGTAATCACATGTGTGTCGGTGTTAGACACTGACACATGTCAGACACCAGACACGTCTTTGCTCAGAGATGTCAGTGTTATTTTAATTAAAATTTAAGATAACGCACTTACTCTTAGGATGAATCCTTGGGCATTCCAAACAGGGAGACAATTGAGCTTGGTTGTGTCAAAGAGAAGAGGAACACTTAGGTTTAGCTTGGAGCTACATGAGTCACCTTGTGAACTACTTCCATCTCCTTGTGAAGAAGAACTTCCATTCACTTGTGAACTTCCAGGGTTTGCTGAAGCAAGAAAACAAATTATGAAGATGATGAGTGCTATATGTGCCTTCATTTCTTTGTATTTTGTATATGTTTGTGTGTTGGTAAACGTATTTGTGAGATTTGTATTATGAGAATGTATTGTTATTTGATTCATGATAAAAAGGGAAAAGTTGTTACCAAAAAGGAAAAGATTACAACTTAAACAATGGGATTTGGTGGCAGGGTGATAGAGTCAAACTATATGATGAGCTTATATTTGATTAAGTAGATTTGGTAGAAGATTAACTTAAACCATTAATTAGTCAACCTTTCATTCCTTTTTTCATTTTCATATAGAGTGATCATAAAAACATCATGGTTCAATTGATCATAAAAATATGATAGTTCAAACTTTGCATGCATTATTAGAGGGGGGTAATAATTTTGTTTCAATCCCCAAGCTATTTTTTTCTTCCATCCGTTTTTCATTCAGACTTGTAGTAATAAACATATAGAATTCTTTGAATTGACTTATTTAAATTTATCTATTATCTTAAGTATTTGTATGCAGTCTAAATTGTCTATGTTTTTTTAATACAAAATCTACACGATATATTGAGTATAGTTTTAGTTCTCCGACTATTTTTTCTTCCTAGCTTAGCTTTTTTGGCAGTTTTTTGGTTTTTGATAAAAACATCTCACCCACTATGTACATGCCCAATCTGAAATTTCTCTAAGTGAATGAGTTTTCAACTATAAACCGTCAATATTCAACCACAGACATGATGACCTACAATGATGTGTGATTGACCATTAGCCACTAATTATACTTATGGATAGCAAGAAATTAAAAAACAGATATCAGATTTGTACTATACAAGCATTGTTGCTTCAGTTCTACTTTCTCCCACTATGTGGCTTTTAATAAACCAAACCACCAATTAGTTATATTATACACAATTGTACTGAAAATGTTTTTTTACTTTTTATTTTCAATTAGTTCCCTTTAAAAAAAAATAAATAGTTTATTCTGTAAAAAAAGAATAACAATCATTTATGACTATATTTCAAAGGAGATGAATGCAACTGATGCAGCCTCAATCGAGGTATGAAACCTCAGCTTAAATGCCAAATGTATACTAACCTTTTGAGTAGTCTATTCTTGTGGAAAACTTGTCTAGGTGTTTTTTTAGAGAATAATTTGGTGCTGCAGGGAATATACCAGTGGATCCAGTGGCGAGTATCAACCATGGCAGAGGTTCGTTGGTTTCTAACTGAAACACCATGTAAAGACGAGAGGATTGGAAACTGATGAAGGTTGAATTGCCTATAACCTGCAGGTTGCCTTTATCAGGAACTACCTGATTTGAGGTAACTCCACCAAGGTAATACTGCTTTATCCCTCCACTGGCTCCTCTAGATGCCACCCACCCTACAATTGCACTTGAACCCACCATGCTGCCGCTGGCCGAAAACCCCATAGCTATGTAGGAATTTGTGTCTGGTGTTGAGAGAATAAAGCTCCAAATGTTTGCAGAAGTCTGAACATACTGCAAAGTAAACATAGTGATTAGGATATGTTGTGCTATTGGAATAGGGATGTATATGAAGAAAATTTTGAAATGGTGCACTTACTCTAAGAATGAAACCTTGAGCATCCCATACAGAGAGGCAGTGAAGGTTGGTTGTAGCAAAAGGGAGAGGAACTTTAAGACTCAGATTGCTGGTACACGAGTCGGTTTCTGGCCTTGCATGGAAGAATGAACCAAGAAAGGTAATTATGAAAAGGAGTTGAATAGGTGCCTTCATCTGTCTCTATATCTTTGGTGTGTGTTAGTGTTTGAAAAATCTGATAGCATGAGGAAGATTTATTTGGGAATGTTTGCAAAAAGGGGGAAATAAAATTAAAAGATGTAATGATTATATATTGTAAGTTGTAACTAACATGGTGGATGGAGGCACTCCCAATTATGACCATATATTAACGGAGATTAAAAAGTTCCTAGAAAATAAGAAATTAAAAATAAAAAGGTAAAATGCACCAACGCAAAATGCGAAGTTTTTAATAATTACTTGATATTGTCATCGCAGTGCATTATGTGTCTAAAGAAAGACAGTGCGAACTAATTATGACCATTATATTGAATGAAAATGTAAATATTCATTTACTACAAACTCCTTATAATCAATATATTTCATTGTACAATAACACATTTTTGAATGAATAAAAGAAAAATATACAACCCGAGCCCAAAACAAAGTGGCGGGGGAGATAGATCTAGATGGCTAATAATGCTTTCAGCCATCTCTTCATTTTCCCGGCCAAGTTTAGAAGACATGAGTCCAGTTCTTCACTTTATCCAATTTGTCGTCTCCAAATTGATAAATGATACAACATCCAAACAAATATAAGCTTGTAGCTTTGTTTATTCTCATGGTACATAAATTTACAAATACAAGTACACTACCATAACCCTATAGAGATGCATCATTAGACACCCGGCTCTGAAATCCATCATGCCCTACAGATGCAGAGATTATATTATTATAAAATAAAATTGATAAAATGAAATATACAATGGTCATTGTTTTACACATCAAAAAGAATAATGTCGCGGTTTTCTTTATGGATTCGTCAAAATCCTTCACTGTGTCTTTAATGAAATGGACTATGGATCAGTTCCTTCCTCCTTAATCCATCAGCCCACTTACATGCAAATTTTAACTAACTAGTTTGAGGATTTGGGTTAAGAACTGAAGGTCTGAAACAGCAACAGTTATACTGGCATCAAGATCAAAGAGTAATGAACTTACCTATGAATTCTGGCAAGCCAACATATTTAGGGCATGATCCTTTTGAAGTAACCATGTCAATTTTTGCGTCTGGTTTAATAGCACAATCACGCGGCTGCAAAAAAAGGACAAATAATAAGTATGGTGGCATAGTTATTGTGTTTGAATAGCATTAGTAAACCATTCTAAAGTACGATCACTGGAATTCTCTCATACTATGCATTAAATTCTGCTTAACCTTGGTGGTATTCCCTTCATTTTCTGAAAATATGTCAAATTTTCATAAAATTTTTCAACTCTCCTATGGGTCTAGAACACTCAGTGATCGCACAACTATTACATGTAGATCCGATGCCATATACTATAAATCTTATGAAGAAATACAATAACAATATCAATAGTTGGAATTTGGAAACAACACCTATAACAGTGAGTACTATTAGTCTCTTACTACATCAAATGGTGTCTCTCTCGGCAACATTTTTTAGTTTCTTATATGGAATCTATTTCAGAGCATAGCCGATTTCTTACCGTGAAGTCCTTATAGAAGCATAGACGAAGCTCCTCCACAGAACCTTTTGAGCAAACTATTAAAGGAGATGCATGGAAAGCATTCTCAATGGCAGAGATAATGCCTCCGAGGGGATACTTTTCTGTGTTTGACGGAACGTATCCAGCTTCATTTAGAACTTTCTGAAAAAATATTAGACAAAACGCAAATAGTCAAAGTATGTTGTGATGAAAATGCAAGTAGGCATTTGGTCTTTACAATCAAAGGTTTTGTAAATACAATTGATTGTCACCAAAAACAGAATAAGATCCAACCGCAGTCAGAATTTTCATGCATTGAGAACATGTCACTTTAATGTGCATTACCTAATAAAAGAACAGTAAGGAATCTATATAACCCCGCCTAAACAGTAAGATGTCCAGTTGCCAACGATAATTTTATAATTCAAACTTGCATGTACTTGTTTGGTCATACAGAAGCAACAAGCCAACCCTGAATCCTCATAAATTTACTATTGAAGCATACCATATGTGCACCAAGATCAAAGGGATGACTAATTAACCAATTCATTAATCAACGGACAAACTTTATCAACTGGAAGGATGATAAGTGGATAAGTTATTCATTAATCAATTTTCAAATCATATCAAGTTGAGGGGGATCACTGGCTAACTAACTCATTAATCAATAGATGAAACTTGTTAGTTTTTTATTGTGGTAGGAGGGGCAAGATAAAAGTGAGAAAATACCAACTACAGGGAATAACATTTTATTTTCTAACTTCTAACTGCTTGTATTCAGTCAAGCATATTTGATATTTTATCTGGTAGGAAAAATGAGAAAAAGACATGGACCAAAAGTAGAGATACATTCAGGTATATACTTATCGTCCTATTTTGAATATTTCTTCATATGAGCTATTACAAAAAGAAAAAATAAAGAAATTTCTGGGTAACAAAAATTCATACTCCACAAACTTACCGTAACATTATATTTGAAGTAGACATTAAGTGTTGTCAAGAAATAGTCATATTCGTTGTCAAACACAGGAGATGAGCATGTGCCGTGCTTCTCTGCAATTGAAATTTCAACATTAGAATATTGGAATACTAGTACAAGAAAAACAAAGATACTGCCTCAAACATAGTAGCAGAAAAAAAATTAAATTAAGTCGTAGAAATGAAAACTGCATAACCAAAAAATAATGTTTTTGAAACTTCAAAGATTTTGTTTTTGAACAACTTCATACTGTTTATAATCCACTATATCCAAATGCACCAAATTTAGGAAAACAGCCCAACTATTGCTCAAAGCAAGAGTAAGGCATTGAATGAAATGGATCTTTATAAATCATGTAAATGAGCAAAAGCTATAAAAGATTATTACCCCACTGTGAATGTGCACCGACGTGATAGCCCCAGAAACATATACCACATCAAAAAACAAATTAGATTTGATAATAATTTAAGAATACATAAGAAAGTAAGTAATTTTCAGTGAGCACCTCATGAGCCCAAAATGAACCTTTTCCGCCACTGCATGATGATGGTGAGCCACAGCTCAATGATGGCCAGTATTGCTGTAAAGCATTATCCAATGTAGATATCTACACAAATGAAACAGTACAACATCAAAAAGTTGAAATGGAGTGCTAATGCAACAAATTTGATTAATTGTATAATTTAAATGCAACACTAATACAACCAAAATATAAACATTTAAACAGTGAAAAAGTTTAAATTATTGCAGTTTCATCAGCTAAAAAATTACTTGACTTTCACCAATCCAAAATTAATCTTTTATTAATCAACTGTCCAATAAAATAAAACTAAAAGATATTACTAGAACTTCCTGCTATAACTAAGAATGGTAATTCAATTTGATTCTGTCCAAAATCTGTTAGTTCAAAGCATGAAAAGTTGAAAACCAACACCTGTGATTTGCAATATAACGGTTTGCAAATTATAGCAGTGAAATTGTACCTCTTTTGGATCAAAACGAGATTTGGTGCAACATGCTGGCCACGTCCCATCATTATAGTCAGGCCAGAGTCCATCTATTATACAAGCATATATAGTGATCTGTTAAGATAATTATTATAGGAATGCCCATAGTCCATACTAAGAAGAAACACAAGTTGGTATACTATTTACCTCCAGAAACAGAATTTAATCTTAACAAACAAAAGAATCTAAAAACAAGATGGGGACCCTCATGCACTGCTTAAAGTTAATATCTCAAAGGAAACATCATTAGAATTATTTTTTATAATTCAAACCCCTCAATTGGGGAAACCTCGTGCACTCAGATATGACACACACCGACACCAAACCGAAAATTTTGAAATAATTGAATGTAATAACATTTTTCGATATGATATTGTGTTTGAATCAGACACTAACACATAGAAATTGATTCAAAGCACATTCAATCCAACTTTCGAAACTCAAAACTAACAAGAAAGAACTATTCTAACAAAGCTTAATTCACAATGTAACAAATAACAAATTTGAAAACGTGATACTCACGTATGGTGAATATTGCCGGAGAATTAGAGCTGAAAAAAAGCAAAAGAAAAACAAAATTAGCAATCAGAAAAAACAAAGTTCTAATCCTTCATTTAAATTCATATTAATCGAATATTGAAAAATGGAAAAGGGAAAGCGGAAGGTTAGGTTAGGTTACCCTCTGCAGCAAGCATTAGAGGAACAACAATGGCGCGTGCGTTGACAGAAAGTACCAGGCCATTGTAAGGCCAAAGCGAAATAGTCAAATTCTCTCTGACGGTGGCCTCCACCTCCTCCGCGCTCCAACTCATCGGCGGCAGTTGCCGGAGAAGATGCTCCGACGAAGACGACGAGAGCCAGGAATAGGCATAGGAGACGTGGAAGAGGAGAGGACATTATTGCGTGATGGAACTGGCTGGATATCTGTAAATGCAATGAAATAGGGAGGAGAGTGTATTTATTTAAGATTGGTTAGTTAGTTACGTGCGAGAGGTGAGTTGTTTCTAAATTTGTTGCCCCGATCTGGAGGCTTATCATACTCGGACACGTCATCATTATTTCAAAGTATATTTCCTTAAAGATTCCTTCCGTTTGATATTTGTCTCATTATATCCCCTCCCTCCCTTGATTTTTTTTTACTAAGTTAAAGAAATAAAAGCTAAAAAAAATATTCTTAACAATGCATCAAGAGATTTAGGTTTATGAAGTTTTAACTAGGAGTGTCAAAGGAGATGGATTGGACGGATACAAATTAATCCATTAATAATTTATTTAAAATTTTTTTAAAGAAATTCAATTCATAAGACAAAATTCATATCATTCATCTATAAGAATTTCTTAATTACATTTGAATTTTTGGAGATGTTTTTCGTTTTTGGAGATGTATCTTCAGACACACCTTTTATACGCTCAAGACTATTTTGAGAGGCGTCTCATATGTTGAGTTATTTTTATTTCAGAGATGTATCTCTGAAACATTTTAAGAAAGACCTTAATTACTTACCAGTTCAGTAGATATTTTGGAGATGCATCTCCGGAATTATTGGCGGCATTTTGAAATTTTATGTCACCTTTGCATATCCAAAATTCGAGTTAAACAAAATTCTCATACTTGAACCCATATTCGCGTGGGCGTTAATATTTATACCCGTATTTTGTGGATACCTAAATACACATACCCGTTACTCTTTGATCGTATCTGATCAGAAAGAGTCACTGGTCGGCCACACGTCTGAGTTGTCGGACTGTTCGGAGAATGGAGAGGGTGTACCTGAAACACACTCTGATGCTAAAGTAAGGGTCGAGCAAAGTGATAACAAGTACAGAGAGAGAAGTAAAAATGAGATTACTTGACCCTCTAGTGAAAGAGGGCATTTATAGTGTACCCCCAGCGCAGGGCCAATGGTTAATACACGTTGGACTGGGTTGCAAGGCCCAATGTTGGTAAGTGCTAGGGCTGACGTGACGTCATGAGACCAGCATGTGGTCTTCGCCCTAGTGTAATTGCTCTGTGTTATCCGTAACACCCCCTTTCTATACCCCCAAATAAAACAATTAAATCATTTAGGCACTTAATAAAAAATTTCATCAGAGTATAAATTGACACATGGTATAAAAGAGGCACGTCACATTGTCCAGGAAATTCAAAACACATACAACACCTGCTCATAAGGATATGCAACAAAGGGTAAATCACAACAAAGGAACTTAGTCCTTAAAACCCACATATCAATATTTAGAATAAAAGCGGAAACATCTAAACATTGAATCACTTCATTCATATAAACATTATATACATCAACAGTTTAATTCAAGTCATAAGTCATGTTTACAAAACATTCACCAGCAGATACATACACAGATGTATCACAAAAGAATCAAAACAATTCCTAACTACCCGGTGCTACATATCAGAGTCAACCGACCAAAAAGAATGAAGCTGTGCTTCACAAAAGAACTCCAGCAAACCTACTCTACAATGCCTCATAGAGCATCATAAAACAGCAGAAGGGTGAGAAACATTATCATAACAAACAATGCATATAATTATATATCTATATACACCAACATAGAATACACGTAACATATTTCTCACCGCAACTCATCACAATTCATCACATACCTCACAATGTATATCTACACAACTAAGCATATTCACCAATCGTGCTTCACAACTCACAACATTTCCACATAAACATTTACACTTATGTTTACTTCAACAATTCACATAAACATACACGATTATGTTCATTACACCAATACATCATATGAAGATGATAATGCAACTCATAGAGACCGACTCACGACTCTATGCAGATGTTAATGCGGTACCGACTCATTCAGCAGGTTCAATTGAAGAACCAAATGGAACCATCGCTCGTTACCGAAGTAACTCCCCGTCGGGCCTACGATGTTCACCCATCCCTCACACCCCATATGGGCACACAATGTTTCAGGATTGCTCACACCACACACGGGCACACAATCTGATTGCTCACACCCCACAAGGGCACACAATCGTTCTGCAGATTCTCCATGAAATCAAATATAAACCATCGCTCACACCGCACAAGGGCGCACGATCGTTTCTGCAGATCCTCCTAGGGATCAAAAATAAACCATCACTCACACCCCACAAGGGCACACGAGGTTTCTACAGATCCTAAGCGGGATCAGACACACAAGAATGCAATCATGATGCTTCACATGCAAAATGACCCAACATACTCTTGAAATGCATACATATCCACAAATGTATAATTATGCATTTTCACCTCATACCAGCACATACAATTTACGCACATTCACGTTAATCATGCCAAACAGCCACATTCTACACTCCACGATTCACAATCTAGGATTCACGCCTCACAGCTACCCATAGCACATCACATCACAACAGCACACAAACTATCCATTCAGATAAGGATTAAACATAATTAAACCAAACAATCGACAATTGGATGGAAAGCACAGGAAATCAAAGAAAATGTTGTCACATTCTCCGACCTTCGCCTGGCGAATGCTCGCCACCATACTCGCCTAACGAACTCGCTGGCGAAGACAGACAGTAGCTACTGGAAGTGTTCACTACTACTCGCTACCACACTCGCCTGGCAAAGCCTCTCGCCGCCTCCTTCGCCGGGCGAACTCACTGGTGAAGACATAGTTGGGCTACTGACTTGGTTCGCTACCCACTCGCTGGGATTCGCCTGGAAAACCTTCGCTCCCATTCGCCTAGCGAATGCTAGCGAATCCGTGAACTCAGAAATCCCTAACTGTCAAAATCGCTCAATCCTTCCAAATCAACTGATTCTCACCAAACCAGTTTCAACCGCCTTAGTTTAACATTCCTCGACTAAACTTTACCACTTATTCTCATTTTTAACCATCAAAACTCGGTTTCTACCGATTAAATCAAATTTGACCTAAAAATGGAAAATGAGCAAAACTCTCCCCAATCCAAAATCAAACCAACAGAACATACATAATCATACACATCGAAAGAATAATAAAGTTTCACACCCTTACCTGATTAAATCGAAGCTTAAAAGTTGATTCTTGATGGTTCTAGATTTTTCTCCTCTTCCTCCTCTTTTCTCTTCTTTCCTTTCTATTTCTTTCTATCTCTTTTCTTTTCTCTCTATTTCCACTTATACTCTTTCTATTCTATTTCTCCCAAATAACAACTAATTAGGGATTATCTAAAACACCCTCTAATTAATTCCCAAAACTCTCTGAATAATAAAATATCATAATATGTACATTTAACATATTAATATTCAAATTTCACAAATATAATAATAATCAATCAAATAAATCGAAAGACTCAACAGAATGGGAAATTCAGAATCGGAGCGTTACAACTCTCCCCCACTTTAGAAACTTTCGTCCTCAAAAATATTACCTGATCCAAACAATTCCAGATGCGACCCTCGCATCTTACTCTCCAATTTCCAAGTCATGTTGCCTTTCGTAGCACCTCCCCATGCTACTTTCACAAGCGCAATATCCTTGCCTCTTAGCTCCTTAATTTCACGATCCAAAATCCTAATCGGTAAAACTTCAACCGTAAGGTTATCTCTTACTTCAACCTCGTCCATAGGAATCACATGTGACGGATCCGGAACATACTTCTGAAGTGCGAAACATGGAACACATCATGCAAATTCGAAAGATTCAGAGGCAACGCCACACGATACGCCACAACACCCACTCGTGCAATAATCTGATACGGACCAAGAAAACGAGAAGTTAACTTCTTCGACTTTAAGGCACGACCCACACCCGTAACCGGTGTAACTCACAAGAACACATGGTCGCCTTCTTGAAACTCAAGATCTTTCCTTCTCTTGTCATGATAACTCTTCTGCCTACTCTGAGAATCTCTCATTTTTTCCCGAATAAACTTCACCTTCTCCGTCGTTTGTTGTACCATCTCCGGCCCAACAACCGACTTCTCACCAGTTTCATGCCAACACAAAGGTGTTCGACATCTCCGACCATACAAAGCCTCAAATGGCGCCATCCAATACTTGAGTGAAAATTGTTATTGTAGGTGAACTCAATCAACGCTAAATAACTATCCCAAGCACCACCTTGTTCTAGTACACAAGCATGCAACAAATCCTCCAACGACTGAATCGTCCTCTCGGTTTGACCATATGTTTGCGGATGATAAGTCGAACTCAATCTTAGCTTAGAACCCAAAGCCTTTTGCAAACTCTCCCAAAACCTTGAAGTAAATCTAGGATCTCTATCCGATACAATACTCTTAGGAACTCCATGCAACTTCTAAACCACACGAACACAAATCTCGGCTAACTTCTCCAAAGGATAACTAATATCAATCGGAACGAAATGAGCAGATTTAGTAAGCCTATCAACAATCACCCAAATAGAATTATGACCTCTTTGTGTATTCGGCAATCCCGTAATAAAATCCATCGATGTACTATCCCATTTCCACTCTGGAATATCCAAAGGTTGCATCAATCCACTAAGCTTCTGATGTTCTACCTTAGACTTCTGACAAGTCAAACATGCATACACAAACTGAGCTACATCTCTCTTCAATCCGAACCACCAAAAGATTTTCTTCAAATCTTGATACATCTTATTCGCTCCCGGATGAATACTTAAGTTACTTCGGTGTCCTTCCTCCAATATCATCCTTTTCAACTCCGCATCATCGGGAATACAAATACGACCACGAAATTTCAAAACTCCAAAATCATCAACCTTGAAATCCTCATCCTCATTTGTCATCAAATCAACGAACTTCAGATCCAACTTCAGCTTTTCAGATACGGTTGCAAGAAAATCATTCGTAATACGAAGCATACCAAGTCTCACACTTCTTGGCGTCATTTCACAAACCAAACTCAAATCTCTAA